AAGTAACTGGGCTATCAAATACTGAGAATCTGTCCTGAAGCAGAGACATCTACAGTAGGAAAAAGTACCTTGTGTGTGTGTGTATTTTAATTTTTTAACAACTTTATTTAAGTATAATTGACTATAATAAACTGAATATATTTAAATTGTACCATAACAACTAAAGACATATGCAACCACCTATGAAATCATCACTACTATTAAGATAATGAATATATCCATGACCCCCCAAAGTTTTCATGTGTCCCCTTGTAATCCCTTCCTCCAGCCCTCACCTCCACTACAATGTTGGCTAGGAGTAGTAAGAGCCCACATCTTTGTCTTTTACTTATCTTAGCGGGAAAGCATTCAGTTTTAAAATATTAAATATGAGGTAGGCTTTTTTGTACATACCCTTTATCAGGCTGAAGAAGTTCCCGTCTATAATTACTTTGCTCAGGGTTTAAAAATTTTTTTTTAAAAAATAAGGAATACAAGTTGGGTTTTGTCAAATAGTCTCCCTACATCTATTCAAACAATCATTTTATTTTTTCTCTTTTAGTTTGTTAACATGGTAAATTACAGTGATAGAGTTTTTTAACATCAAACCAACCTTCCAACCTTGCATTCCTGGTATGAATACACTTGGTCATGATTTTGATAATTTTACATATTGTTATATTTGATTTCTTACAGTTTTATTTAGCATTTATTACATCTATGTTCATGAGGGATATTCGTCTATAGTTTTCTTCTCTTTTAATGCTTTTTGTCAGGTTTTGGTATGTGAGTAATGCAGACTTCATAGAATTATTTGAGAGGTATTATCTCCTCTTCAATTTCCAAAAAACAGTTTGGGTAGAATTGTTCTTATTTTGACCCAAAATGTTGGTAGAATTTATCAGTAAAGTCATCCGGACATGGAGATTTATTTTGGGAAAATATAAACATTTATATATATAAAAATTTAATTACAAGTTCCATTTGTGTAACAGATATGGGGCTATTCAAGTTATCCCTTCTTGTGAGCTTTGTGTTTTTTAAGGAAGTTGTCCATTTTACTAAGTTGTTGAGTTGATTTGCATAATGTGGTTCATAATATTCCCTTATAATTATTTATATACCTATAGAATCCAAAGTGATGTCATCTCTCCAATTACAAATACTTGTAATTTGTGTTATCTCTCTATTTTTCCTATTAAATCTGGCTAGAAATTTATCAATTTTATTGACTCTTTTAAGGAAAGAGCTTTTGGTTTTATTGCTTTTCTCTAAAGATTTCCTCTTTTTATTTCATTGATTTTTTTGCTTTGATGTTTATAATTGCCTTCTATTTACTTTGGGTTTACTTTGCTTCCCCCCACCTTCGTTTCTGAAGGTGGAAGCTGAAGTCATTAATTTTAGACTTCTCTTCTTTTCTAATATAGGTGTTAAATGCTATAAATTCCCCCCTTACTATTTCTTTAGTGGCTCCACAAATGTTATACGCTGTCTTTTCATTTTCATGCAATTCATGATATTATTATTTTTTTTTATTTCTTCTTTGACCTATGGGTTATTTAGAAGGGTGTTATGTAGTTTTCCAATATTTGCAGATTTTCAAGAGATCTTTCTATTGTTAAGTTCTAATTTAATTCCATTGTGGTCAGAAAATACCCCTGAATAAATTGAATCCTGTTGTATTTCTTAAAACTTGACTTATGACCCAGAAAATGGTCTATACTGGTAAGTGTTCTCAGTGCATATGGAAAGAGTGTATACTTGAATGTTGTTGGGTGGAGTGCTCTATAAAAGCCAGTTAAGTCAAATTGATAGGGTTGTTCAAGCATCCTATATCTTACTGGTTTTCTGTCTACCTTTTCTATCAATTATTAAGTAAAGAGTGTTAAATCTCCCAGTATAATTTTCAATTTATCCACTTCTCCTTGTAGTTTTATCAGTTTTTCTTTATGTATTTTGAAGCTTTGTGATTAGATACGTAAACATTTAACTGTTATGTCTTCTTAATGAAATGACCCCTATTATCATTTTGAAATGATCTTTTTTCCCTAGAGAAATATACTTTCCTATGAAATATATTTCTTTAGAGTAGTACTAGCACGGTGTATAATTTACCATCCTTGTAATTTATTTATGTCTTTGCATATAGTGTGCTTTTTGTAAACACCATATTGTTGGCTCTTCTTTTGTTAGTCAATCTGAAATATTTATACCTTTTAATTTTGATTTTTAGATTATTTACATTAAATATAATTCTTGATACAGTTAGGTTTAAATTCATTTGCTTTTTCTTTTCTATTTGTGCCTTTTATTCTTTCTTCCTTTTTTCCCTCTTTTTCTATCTTCTTTTGAGTGAATATGTTTTTATGATTCCGTTTCATCTTCCAGGTTGTCTTATTAGCTATAGCTCTTTGTCTTGCTATTTTAGTAATTGCATTAGGTTTTATACTATTTGTATTCAACTTATCAGACTATTCTATGTACTGTACCCAATGCCCATAAATTATCAGGTTTCCAGTTTGGTTGATAATAACGGGAACTCTTTCTGTTCTATGTGAGAATTGGGTATTGTTGCCTTTAATCTTTCATCAAATTTTCACATGCTTATAAGTACCTATACTTCCCTGGGCATCAAAGATCAAGTGACACTGTTGTAAATAAATTTTTGCAAAAATGCATTCCTTTGGATTGGATGCAAGTTCTAAACATTTATATCTTTTTTACCTACCTTAGAACTCACATAGACCACAGCTACAAAATTGCAATAACTTCATTATTAGATTGTCTTTTTACAGTTGAGGTTAATTTATTTGCCTCTACTCACATGAAAGTGACAAGAAAACCTCATACAAACTTATAAAATTTATCACAGTTTCTTGTCAATAATGTCTATGTATCTCTGCAAAAAAATATATAGTTCTTTGAGAGTAAAAGAATATCATGCCTTATTCATCTTTGTACCCTTAGCACGTTGAGAGTGTAAAGAACATACTACGTGCTCAATATATGTTTGTTGTGTAACAACTGAACTGGATATTAGACTTAGGTCTTCTGGTTATAAAACCTCAACATACTCTCATTTCGTTAAGTCACACTTCTTTCCATCAAATTAATCTAAAGAGAAACGAGGGTCTCATTTCTTTGCTAACATAATATTCTAGCATTTTCTCACTTAGTATTTTCCTCAGCTGGGGTACTAACTATTAAGCACACATATCCATGTCATGCAGGGGAAAGTAAAATATAAATCAAGAGTCTAACAAAAACCAAAATTTTTATTGGAAACTACAGACAATTATATGTTTAAAGACATTTGAAAAATAGTCACTCAAGAGTATTTTTTTTCTTAATAGCCCCAAGCAACTCATCACAGGAAACCTGTGTAATTTTCTAGGGATCTAGTCATGCTTAGAGCCATCAGTTGCACTCCCTCTGTCTCCCTGTTGTCTACATCAACTACTAGTGTCTTAAATATTCCTTTTTTATTCTTTTATATCTCTGCTGCATTTCCTGATAATATCCTGTGTTAGCACATTATTCCACAAGCTTAGCAGGTGAGAAGAAAAGAAGTGCGTAATTTTAGGAAAGAAAGGAAAACTGTAGGCAGTGAGATCATAGACAATAGCAATGTTGTAGTGCTTTTGTTTCTTCAAATATAATTCCAGCACAGCACCCAAGGAGTATTGGTTAATGAATAAGGAAACAAAAGTCTCATAACTATATCTAAGAGGAAAAGCCAATTGTTTTTAAGCTTTTGGATGAATTGACTTAAAAAAATTAATCTATTGTTTTCTTTATTTTGAGAACTACACCGAGTAACAAGTTTGGGCACCCATATTTCCCCAAAGGCTGTGCAACGATGTACCATGGGCTTCATGACAAGACATTACTGAATATGGACTGTATTTTGGGGGACAATTTCCAACAGACTATAAGTATATCAGTAAATATGAGAATAATATAATTCCGTTCACTAATGGTGTTCTAGACATTCAGCCATAAGGAAGGTTTATAGGCAAAAGAAGAGTATAACAAAGTTATTCTAGTACTTCTAAAATAATTCAGATTATAGAAATTCAAAGTAAATCTTATTTCCAAATTTTGACTTTTTCTTACACAGTATCACACATATTTTATTAAGTAAAAAAAAAAAACTTCACTTTCTAAATGAGAAATTAAAAGGCATAACTTGAACTTCATAGGTAAAGATATTTAAATTCTAATAATTTTATTATACAAATAGTTTGGGCAAAACGATAGAATTTCTAAAATATTTTACATTAAATTCTAGGAAGGAAAAAAACAGCAGTATTATTAACTTAACTCATTTTTAAAAATTATAATATATGTGGTTTGGAGAAGGAAAAAAAAAGTATGTCATTGCTCATCTGTCTCAGCATAGGGGCACATTTATGTGTCCATATAAATTGGTGAATGTAAAAAAAAATTAATATAATTTATATTCTTCCTATCATCATATTTACCAGGGATTAATCCCCAATTTTCTTTCACTTGGAAGGTCATTTAATAAATAAATTTGCATTATTTAAAATGATTCATGTTATTTAATGTACTATCTAACTTAATGTACTATCTAGAATTCCTTTATCCACAGGTCACTCTTAAAGTTACTTGAGAATAGTCTCAGGCAGCACTTTCAAATTCATCACATATATACACTTCCAAGTTTCAGTTCAAAACCACAAAGTTATTTAGTAGGGTATTGCTTTATTTAAAATATAAAGCTCTTCATTTCAAAAATTGAAAGCCCTGATGTCTGTTTACTATGAATAAAATAATTATTTTTAAACTTTAAAAATACCTATAATTTCCCATTTAACAGTAAATATTGCATGCAATAAGACTCTAGCAAGGTTTCTAAATATGTATTAAAATGATCAACTGATCAGTAATTTACATCACTTCGCAAAAAAAGATTTGACAGTAAATTACTGGGTTTGATATGTGCAGGCTACAGCATAGTATGTTCAGTGTCAAAAAATAAAGTAAAATGCAGTTACCCTAAAAGACATTTCAAGATTCTCTCCACCCCAGATATCCATTCCTGCATCGTAAGTTCCTATCTCTTCAAAGTAGTTTCTGTCAATAGAAAATAGGCCACCAGCCATAGTAGGGGTCCTAGTTGAAAAAACAAAAAGAAAAGAATATCTTTTGAAAACAATGTGTGGAGTTTAATGAGACTGTAGCAAGTATTTTTGAGACATTTTAAATTTAAAAAAAAGTACTAAAAATTTTCAAGCTGGAAACTTAAAGTCGAAGTACAAGAGTTTTTAAAATTAATAAACAGCATTTTATTTCACATTTTTCATAGAACTAAATTTAGATGTGTATGTTTTTCTTAAAAGTGATCGAATAGATAAATGGAAGGCACACTGGCTATTTAAGATTGAGGCTTCTACATTCCCTCTGAAAGGCATAGTGAAGAGAAATCAGTGCCCTTAGCCCAGCCTTAAAGTGATGAACTTATCATGAAACTACCAGTTGTGATCTTTTATTACTGAATTATGAATCATTTTAATGTGAACTCTAGGAACCTGTGGACATGGTTTCTCTATGAAAAGATGAATAACCTATTCAGTTATGAAAATTATTAAATGTTATAATGCATAGGAAATAAGTAATGATTATTACAAAAATATTTTAACATAAGAGCATTACATCTAATTGTTTATCTTCTCTTTACCTAATTAAAAAGAATAGAATTAATCGTTAGCCCTATGGATAATCATAAATCCCATATACTATCCAGTAATTTAGAAAGATATTTGGCATGAAATCTAAAATATTTTTTTCCTAGGAATAAATGTCTTTCGGTTCTCATATTTAAAATTTCTCTATGGGAACTTAATGTTAAGTTTCAAAGTGATTAATCCAATAAAGACAGTGATTAATACATGAACTATTCCAGTCTATCTATGCAAGCAATGTGAATTAAAGCTAAACAAGAAAATTCTAGTTGTTCCCAAATGGATCCATACTGGCCAGGATTATGTTTGAATGCTACTAGTAGTATGCTGTTGTATTGTGTGTCATAAAGTCATTCCAACTCATAGCAACCCTGTAATAGTACTATAATGGTTCTCAACCTTGCTAGCATGTTAGCAGCACATGAGGCCCCTTTAAAAAAATGTATCCATGCTTGCAACCAACCCTCCAAAAATTCAGATTTAATTAGTTTGGGGCGGGGCCAGATATTTGGTATTTTACAAAGTTCCCAGGTGATTCTAATATGCTGCCAAAGATGAGAAACACTGATCCACTAATTTAGATTTGGAGTGTTCATCCAAGCAGTCTGTGAGATGGTTAAAAAAAAAGAAAAATATATTGCCTTTCTCAAAATTATATCCTCCCCTGCCACAGAGTATGCTCATATCTTCTAATTAAACAGCACTTTGTTATTGTTGTTAGGTGCCGTCGAGTCGGTTCCGACTCATAGCTACACTGTGTACAACAGAACAAAACACTGCCCAGTCCTGCGCCATTCTCACAGTCATTGCTATGTTTGAGCCCATTGTGGCAGCCACTGTGTCAATCCATTTTGTTGAGGGTCTTTCTCTTTTTTGCCAACCCTCTACTTTAACAAAAATGATGTCCTTGTCCAGGGACTGGTCCCTTCTGATAAGATGTCCAAAGTAAGTGAGGCTAAGTCTCTCCATTCTCACTTCTAAAGAGCATTCTGGTTGTACTTCTTCCAAGACAGATTTGTTCATTCTTTTGGCAGTGCATAGTATCTTCAATACTCTTCACCAACACCATACTTAAGCAGTATAGTTCATTAAAAAACCACCATATAATACTGTACTTGGACATCTACCATACTGCAAAATTCTCTATTTCTCCCAGTGCTCTCACTGTTTTTTACTCAGGTAATTAACTATCCATCAGTTGGAGTAGCAGAGCCTTGCTCAGCCTCAGAGCTGTTTTATTACTTCCAGTTTTGCTGTGTTCCTGTCATGAACAGTATCATTGACCTTCTGAATTATAATGAGAAACACTAACAAAGCTAAACAGATGGTAATTATAGAGTAGCCATGACCCTCACCTGATTGAGGTTTTGGAACTCTATGGCAATAGCTGTATAAGGTATTACAGTGCTGGATAGTCTATTTAATAAAATGTGAAACAAAAATTGCTGCAATTATCCTATCATATTGCAACTAAGTGCTTAAGAATGTTAAGTGATGCATTTTTAATGATCAGTTCTGAGTGCCTATCCACTTATCTGCTTACTAATAGAGGACTAATGCATTTGAACTTAAATACATATGTTGAATTTCTTCTTACAGTTGGTCATCGTTCCTGTAAATATGTGAAAAAGTATAAAATAAATGGGTAAAAATGAATTATGCACGTCTAACCATAAGAATGACTCAAATAAATTGTACTTACACTTGAAAGTAGTAAGAAAAGAAATCTAAGATTAAAATTCCTCAAAAAAAAAAAAAAAACAAACTCCAATATTTTTCTGAAGACAGACACTTTTAAAATTTTTTCTCAAATTTTCAATGTTAGCTCTCTCATACAGTTTAGAAATGGCGTATTTAGTAATATTTAACATCTACAGCCATAGCCAATGCTTTGCAATATGTTCTGAGCTGAGTTAACTGCTACGTAATATGTCTAATGCTTTATTTACATACACCTGTATGGACCTTAAGAGTTCAAGAGTGCCTAACAAATCGGAAACCTGGAGTAGAGTTGAATTAATGAAATCTATTTGATTTGTAAGTTTGTTCTATACAATGTCAAACCAACGGACCAATTCAATCAGTTTTGTTCAGGAAAAAACAATCCCAGTGGCCGCGAACACTACCTACCACGTAGTAAACAGATGAAGACGACTTGAGTTAGCACAGTGCCAGGCATATAATAAACACTTAATAAGGTTAGGTGAGATGTTTTTTATTGCAGTTAATTATTTAAACAAAAGCCTTTTGAATTAATTTCTTGTTGTTTCTTCTTTATTGGAATTATGTGGCACAAATAGAGAAAAAGTACAATGAATTGTTGATTCATATATGAGTCTTTCCAATAAGGGGTGTTAATCACATTTAGTATCTACTAACTTAGGAAAATTGTTTCTCTGTGGTCAGATGAGTGTCTTTTGTGCATGTCCCGGAGTTATTTATAACAGTGGACCCAGAGCAAGGGAGGTGGGATTTGCAGTCACACATGCCTTTGCTCCTCTCCTGAAATGAATACCTCAGTAGTCTTCTGCTGACCCCAGAAGCTGTTTTTAGTGTCAGTTTAAAAGACCAATGTCTTGCTTTAAACTATGGGAGAGATTAGTCTATCTAGTTTGGCATTTTTTTCTGACTCTACCCATTCCTCTATTTTTTCATGAGAAAACTTTTAATTCCCTATGTTCTTTAGTCCTAGGTTTTATATATAAATCATTATACACAAATTGCACATCTATTATTGTTGATCTTCAGATCTCAAATCCTAATACAATGTCTACATATTGTGGTAAGCACTTTCTGAATTTTTTTTGAGTAAACAAATAAATAAATCTATTTCAGTACTTTTTTGTGTGGTTTTATCTTACCCCACTCCATTCCTAGCTATTCATAAAACAGTCTCTTCCACTGTGCCGCGGGTAATCCCATCAGCGCTCTGAACCTCGACATGGTCTTTAGCATCAAACTTTAAATTTCTTTCTACCCTTTTGAAATTGTAGAACACTGTCTAATGCCCAAAACACTCTTCTCCAAAAGTGACTATACCTCTGAATATTCCTCAGCCATCTAACTCAAAGACGAGTCATCCTTCCATTGTCACCTCTTAAGACTCCCCTCACTCTAGTCCTCCTGTATCACCTTAAACATGTGCATCATTTTCATGATGTCTTGAGCTCTCTCAAATATTGTTCAACAGTTGAGTTAAATCACTCTCAAGTCGTCTTCTCATCAGCCCTTCCTATCATATGTGGGGACTTCAAAATCCATTTTAACACCCCTTAGAACACCATGGCCTCATTCTTACTAAAACTACTCATTCCTAAGTGCCTTCACCTAATTTTATCTCCCCATACACTGTCATTTTGGTTTCAAAATTATTTTAAATTACTTCATAGTCAAGATTTTGAACTTTGAAATCTGTCTCTCTAAACACAACTTCCTATATTTTAATTTTTCCTATCTCAATTTTCTGGAAGTCCCTTTTTATCCTTTAGCAGTTATTATGGTTCCTTATTTCAAATTAATTATCCCCTTTTGGAATTTTATGTTTCCCTCTTCTCACCCCCTCTTCAATATTCTGGCTTGTCAGTAAAAATCTAGCTTAGCATACCTGGTTCCCTGTCCTTGTCTGACCCAATTCTCTTTTTGTAAATCTCGGAGCCTAGATAAACTTATTCTTCACTTCATCCAATTCTGTTTCTAAAACAAAGAGTCACTGGAAAGTAATAAGAAGAGACCAATTGATTATACCACAAATCCATGCTACTGACGCTCTTAGTCCACAGCATTGATAATAATCCTTTTATCTACATTTATTTTGTTCACCTGTCTCATTTTAACTGCTTTTTTCCCAAAACTTTTACTCTTCTCAAGACTGAGGGATTAAGTTAATGTGTGGAATCTAAACTCCCTCAATCTCTACCTTAACATGTGTATGCATCTTCTTCATGGCCTCCTCCTCCTTCTTGTCTCAAAGTAAAGAACACTCCCTTTCCTCTCATTGTGGCCTATCACTTTTGTGCCCTTATCCAGCTCTTTCCTGACTATTCATCCAACCACTTGCTCGTTGACTATTACATTTATGTTTCATACCTTTGGTTTCTAGATTGTCCCCTGGAGCTTACAAACCTGCTCAGTTATGTTCCATCCTAAACCACAATACATTTTTACTCCATCCTACTATCACTGAAACCAAGGACATATATTTTCTATTCCCTTCACTGGTAACCTTATTGAAAGGTTATTTTCTATGTAATCCCTCAACTCCTCTTGACCTTCTAACTAGAATCTGGATTCTGTCCCTCATCTACTACAACTTCTTTCTGAAAGGTCCCTGTTGAACTCCAACAGCCTTTCCTCTTCATCCTCATCTAAAAGTATTTAACATAACTCATCAGCCTCCCTGCTTAAAATTCTTTTCACCTCTCATTCCCATGG